CTCGGATCGTTCTGCTCCCGAACCCCACGAGAACTTAATCATAAACATGTCATCCTTCGTCCGATGGCAGAGATTTGCCCGTGATACTATTGTCTCTGGTCTGTAAAGTGGCTCCGACATGATTTCGATCACATTATCAGCCGGCTCATCATCATCTCGAGTGGTGATGAATGATAGATCATCTTTACGAAAAATTGTCGTATCAAGCCCAAGCTCTTGGTCGCTCATGAACATGTATGATGAAATAGCTCGTACCAGTTTTTCTTGGCTTTCAATCAGACTGATTTCGCCCGAGCTGTATGCACCCGATCGGTCAACTACCCAGAACTCAGCGTGCAGTTTGTGAACAACAAATCCATGCACAAATCGACGCAATGGCTGTGCGTAGAATATTTCACGAATGTATCTCGTGAGCTGGTGGAACTTGACACCTTTCAGACCAGCGGCCTTGGTGAATTCACCTATCACTCTGATATCTCTCCAATGATGTTTACTTTCCTCGACTAGGTCTGCATCTTCAATAAAAAAGTCAAGCTTTCGTCGACTCTTTGCACCTTCAAGCTGGTTGAATTGTGTTGTATGATAGAATTTGCCGCGCGCGATAGGATCATTTGGCATGCGGATGAAAGTTGATTCCGATGTGTTTGCCTCGTGGGGGAGCGTAAACTGTTTCAAGTAACGGTCGAAGAAGGTGTAAAACCAGGCCCGGAGTTCGGCTTCATTCATGTTGTTGTGAAAAATATGGGGTTGACATTGGTTGTTATCGCGGTAACACTCCCAGATTCGCGTTGTAGTTTGAGACCACCTCTCATTCTCAAAATAAACCCCCCAGAAATTACCAACACTTTTGTAAACATTGTTTGTAAGTTCGATCTTGAGCGCTACAGTGATGGAAGGGCCTGTTGCGTCGTAATTGGGTATCTCTGAAGCGCTGCGCGTGTATGTAGTCGTTGTGTTTTCTTCAATGATTGGAATCATTATGTCCGGAATTGACTTTGGTTCCTCATAGTTAATATCATCAGCAAGATCAATGAATTGAGTCCAAAATTCACGGTCACTAGCATCAGATAAGATTAGTTCAACAAAGGGCTCGAGGTTGGAGAGAACGACTCTTTTAGCAGAGATTTTAGTGACAATTGAAAGGATTTGCTGATGAAGCGTGTAGATGTTGGCGTTACTGTCGAACTCTACTGTGTATGCTAGAAGTTGAAATAGAAATTTTTGAATTGCTACTAAGTCAGTCTTTAATCCATTGCTCAAAATAAGGAATTCACCAATCATTTGATCAACAGCATTGTCGTAGTTTTTCCCGAATTGAGCACGCGGGCTTGTGAGAGGATGTTGATTAGTATATTCGTAGAGTTCCTCGAAAAGGCTCATTTTGCTGTAACTTGAAATAAGATTGTTACTGGAGAGATTTGATGATGTGAAGATGATTGAAAAGGGGTGAAGCCGACGACTTCGAATAGTGGACAATGGTAGAGTTGGCGTTGAAAACCCTGAAAATCATGTTGGCGCAGTGGTCGTGACAAGTCAAGCGCTGTACTGCAATGTCTAAACATCTGTACGAGGTGTCCCCTACGAACCTGGGAATGAAATATTCTTTCAGAGCCACCTTTTGTAAAATTTCGCATTATAAAGGAAGTTGGCCCACGAGGCAAAAATCCAAATTACACCACCACGTCGTTTTTCCGCTCCCAACGAGTTTGACGCCTACCTAAGTCTCATCAAGTCTACAAGTACGACCTAGTACATCTTCATCCCAATGACCACACCTCTCTTTGACCTTCTCTGGCCTCTGTTGACCACTAAAAACTCGCCCCCGTCGATATGTTCACCCGAGAGAGGAAGCAAAGCGCGGCCCACAAATCTGGGAGACAGTTATTTGGGACTGGCGTGAGAGGATTCAGGACAAGTTAACAAGATGATGCTGAGGATGGACACAGTCGCGATGGGCGTGGAAATTTGAATTTTTGGCATCCAAGAGCCAAGTTGAGCCAAATTTCGCAATACCGAACAAGTTGGCCCACGAGGCAATGATTCAAATTACTCCCCCATATCAATCTTTCACTCCCAACGAAATAGTTTCCTATCTAAGCCTCATCAAGTCCACAAGTACTACCTAATACATCCTCATTCCAAGGACCACAACTTTTGTCGACTTTCTCTGGCCTCAGTTGACCGTCAGATACACGCCCACGCCGATTTTCACACCCGACGGAGGAAGTAAAGCGTGGCGCTCAAATCTGGAAAAGACAGTTCCTCAGGATTTATGTGAGAGGGATCAGGACAAGTTGATGAGATGATGCAGAAGATAGATACATTCCCGACGGGCGTGGAATTTTGAACTTTGGCATGGAGATTTACAAATGGAGCTATGTGCGCGCCAAGACTTTTGTTGCGAGAGTGCAGGTGACACTATCAGTACCGCCATGGTCGGATGGTGCGGTGGTGCATCGTATTGGCCGATCTCCAAGTATGGTCTGGATAGCTTGGACACATATCCCACTTGAGACAGTAGATCGCTGGTTCAAATCCGGCAAAACACAACCACATTTCTCGCGGCGCTGGTACGCATGGATGACGAAGGTATGCTTGGATAACTAAAGGTTTTGAAACGTCCCTTTGGTGGGTACTTACGGAGGAGGGTCGACTGTTTGTGTAAGCGAACATACGTCATAGTGGTATTTGCGAATGAAATCCAGAGTATGAGTGTCTCTAACGTCAAAAGAGTCATCCAACATGTATACATAGCACCAGTCTTGCGTCATAGCTATATACCTGAATATACATTAAATGATTCAAAAAAAGGGAGGATTTTGTTTGACCAACAATCTTACAGTTTAACAATAATGAACTTTTAAGAATACTTGTGCTGACTACTAGTCCTAGTCGGGGGACTATTGTCAACACATGTCAGTGGTGTCCCCTACGAATCTCCAGCTCTCTCTGTAGAGTCTGTAGAGCCGAGATTGAGTAACCAAGTCCTTACTTCGATGTGGATTCCCAATCGCTTTCGCGGTCTGTATCGTCTTCATCTCTCAACACATTCACTTATCACCATTATCATGAAGCTAACCACGATCAGATCAGATGGTAGGGTCGGAGCCCTACTCATCACCAACCTTTGATCATGGAGGAGAAGCCAACCGATGAGTTTCCGGACCGCACTCCGCATCCGGTACGGAGATGGTGGATTGAATCAAGTCGCCCTCGAATGTGACAGAAGATAGATATAGATGAATGTGCGCCCCTCATGTAGTCCCGGTGTCTTGGCTACGCCTGGCTGGGACTGCAGGTTTTTGGAGATTTTTACCGCGCACGCAGTTTCCATTGCTACCATTTTTTTGGGTAGAAGGTTCTGTGGAAAAGATGGCTGAATTCCACGGATAAATACTGAGCTGAATGGCTATTCATGAAAGGAAATATATTTATGACCTTTCAAGTAACAAAAGAGGCAAAAAGCACTGTCCAAGGTGTGGCCTGGGACAGAAAAGAGCCCAATGTGCTAGATGGTCTATGACTCAAGTAGTACAATAAACACACACACTTCTCCTAACCTACAAGCTATTGTGGTCTTAATGGAGATATATTGCAAGCAGGGTAAACAATAGAATATGTGGAGAAGGCAAAGTGTTACACGTCGTGTCTTTGTTACTCATGCAAAAATTCATGGTGCATCACCATTGGCATATTGACGGCCTGAAACTAGCCCTGCGAGATTATTTTGAGATCGGCGTGTAAAATTTCAGGCATGACACAAAATATCCCCGAATGTAAAGTCTTTTTCTAAACCACTTAAACATTTTAATTAATATATGGTTATTGACCTGATCTTATAGGTTAGTACAGTGATTTGGCTTCAAATTCTACGCTACTTATGATTTATAGCTTACTCGATAGCGAAGTGACAAATTTCATTACATACCATTCTGAACTTATGTCCAGTGCTCCAAACGCTATATGTAATAAAAATTGACCGGTTATTCTTCACTTCGGCAAGGACAGAGGAGCAGAGTTTGATATTTTTGATACCATTTTTTCTGGCTCAATCTCGGTTTCAGTATTACATAATAATCAAATTGAATACATTATATTCACAGTAATTTAGCACAATAAATTCAGACAAAAGCAGAGGCATTCGATTATTCGACTGTTCAACATCAAAATGATTTGGTATGACCTAGTAACTTCATAAACTGGCCAGCATAGATCAAAAGTTATCGCTTCACTGGTAATACACAAGATTTTAACATCCCGTTTATTTCAGCATAAATGTAATCTTCTATCTACTTATTTTATGTGCTGATAAAATAGCCAATTCTCTTTAATCAACTCAATTTCAAGACCAAAAAATAACATCTATTATAAGGATGGCATGAGATAGAAGTAAAGAGTTAAGAAACTTCATATTTTGCAACTGCTACTTCAAATTACATCTGAGAATTATTCATGGTTCTTGTTAGTGGAAGACACAAAACTATTAGGCTTTTAAATTTCAATTTCTAAACCTCGCTACCAATCCTGAAGAACGTCGTTAAAAAATTTATTTCAAATGTTACTCTTATGGAAATGAATCAAGAGTCGTAGCTTCTATTTAGAGTCTATCTACCTACTGCACTTGCCGAATTTCTGTTCACGCTAGGCTAAAAAGCGAACTCGTCTTTGCCTTTGAGTCCATTCCTATCAAAGGCTGTTTACACCCTGCCAACATGAGATCCTTTGAACCATTTTTGGGGAAATTGACCATTCATTCTTCGCTCTATCTCAATTCTCATCTTTCAAATCAGTAAGCAGCACAATAATTTGTCTCATCAAGTGGATTCAAAACGCATTCAAGGCCACTTCTGCTAGGTTCCATTCCTTGAAAGAAGCTTAGGATATAACCGTTCTGCTATCAATTATACGTCAATAAATGCGTTCTGTGGAATAAAGACCACATAGTGCTTCAATTAATTACATAGCTTAGAGGGTTAAAGAATATTAGCTTATAAAACACCATGCCTGATACAAAGCAAACGTGTCAATACTCTCAGAAAGAGTTACTTGATCTTAGAGATTCACTTCCTATAGTACGATGCATTGTAGCCAGCATCAAAATGGGGACAGATATTGGTACGGACTGAATCTATTGGTTTTATTTGCAAAGCTAACATAGGTCCCAAGCTAAAATCTTCAGACTTCCTGGGAAAGCACTGGAAACCCCTGAAAAGTTTACATGCCGGTCAAAGGACCTTGCTGAATTTTCAAGTCAGTTTAAGAAAAGAAATATCGGAAGAGTCCTCTCTGAAATATCCGAGGATAATGGAAATGATTGTGATTCGGTGCTTCTGAGTAGAAGCCCCACTCAGCCCCAGTTTCACTGGGCTCTTCGACAACAAGAAGGTAAACATAGACCCGACAAACCTTATCCCGCACCCGCAGATATTGCTGCACAAAAAGCAGAAAACTTTCAAAAATTTTATCGTGCTGTTGTATCGCCCACACATGTACGTGTCACTGCTGGTGGGAGAATTGTTCCCAATATTAAGCCAGTGGAGGCTGCTGGATTTGATGGTGATAGTTATAATTTCAAATCCGAGCGTAGCGTTGCGGAAGCATGTCCAGCAGTCGTTCAAACTCCTTGGTCACCATATTTAAATTCACTACAAGCTTCAAGCTATCCGACGTTGACGCCAACAGGCTCTACGCCATTTTTAAACGTTTCAAGTTCCAGTGTTACTTTCGATACGTCGCCAGTGGCTCCTCAAATATATGGAAATACATCAAGTGTGAGAAATACAGCCAGCAATTTCCAACATCCCAAGTTAGGTTGTAATATAGCAGATGGAATTCAATCAACAACAATCCCTAGTGAGATAAAGATTTCACATCCAAGTCAATTTGATCAGACAAAACCATTCACTATCAACGGTCAGCTTGTATATCCTGTCTCCCCTGAGTTTCAATCACCTGCACAAATTTTTCCTGTACCTGTCGGAATACCAAGTAATTTGACCACCCCTCAAAATCAGACACATATTTTTAATGAAAATCAGTCCCTAGGTTCATTTGAAAACATGACAAACGCACTGGGATTCCCTGAGAGTCAGCATCGTGTAATGAGTGGCAACAGTTCCGGGAACTTATATGAGCCCTTATATGTACCTCCTAGTCTCATTCCTGCACCATATACCACGGTTCCTGCTCTTGAATTTCTAACAAGCCAATTACAAAGTCTTTTCGCAAATCTACAAGCTCTCGAAAATCAAATAGCCACAAATAATTCTCTGCACGAAAAAAAAATTTTAGAAACTCAGCGCCATGTCATGCAAATACAAATCAACTCTATTAACAATATGCTTGCTATCCAATTTTCACGTGATGATGTAGATAGAGGGAAAAGTGCTGGAGATAAAACACATAACCTTCCAGAAAATCAGGCAGATTTGAACGAAGCTAATAAAGGGTTCAAAAAGTTTGAGAAACCGGAAAAGCCTTCAGAAATATATTCAACTTTAAAACAGATAAACGTCATTAGTAATAATAATCACGCTAGTAAGCTTGATGATTTGGAATTTCTACCAAAACTCCCGACAAAATCACGACTTAGCAAATCCTCTGCTAAGGCGCAGCCTTTCCAGCCGAGAGACCAAAAAAATGTCAGTATACAAAGTAAATTGCCCGAGATATTTCCAGAGGTTGGAAAAAATTCCGAAAAATACTTTCCTGTTAAAGCTGGGCATGAAAACTATGCTTATTTCAAGAATTACACACCAATGAGTGAACATCATAACTCTCAAGGAGCTAGTTCTTTTTATGAATTGCCTAAGCCTAGGAGCCTTGGAGCCCCATATCTGATTGGGACCATTCCTAGCGTATCAAAATGTAATTCTAGCATACCTCTAGATGCTATTTACTCTCGTCCTCTCACTAGGGAAGAGATTCAAGCCCGTCATGTTTATTTTGGCGAGGCGCCTCGCCTTTCTGCAAGTGGCCTACCAAAATTTGACGGGAAAGATTTTTACCCACCCTCGCCACTAAAAAAAGAAGTCCGTCTAAACTCCAGAAAATCCGAATCTGGCGGTCTAGATAAGGGGCCTTTTATTGCTTCAAATTCACGTGAATCATTACTGACTTCCGGAGCACAAGAAAATTCAAATCCCCTACTGGCTCGGTCTTTCTGTAGCACACAAAATATCCAACATGATAAACAATCGTTTTATAGCTGCTCTATCCATAGCCACGATAATGGAATACTTGAGAAAAAGACCAACGAAACTGAAACTAATCAGTTATTACCACCGCTTAAAATAATAAATTACGATGAAATTCAAGAGGAAGATTTTGCAAAATTATTTGTGGAAGAAGATTTTTCTAGGCTAAACTCTCAGTCTCCAGCTAGAAGTAAGGGAGATGCTACTTTTGAGGATGACTTTTCCAATATTTTCACTGAAAACGCGGCTTCACCACTTCTAGAACATCAAAAATATTTATGTGGTAAAAGTAAAGACTTAGCCTTTGAATCTAATATAGAGCATAGTGTGGAAGCCAATCGTGGCAAATTTCCTACTGAAAATTATAGTGAGCGGAAGGAGTCATTTTCTCATATGCAGCTAGAGATGAAAAGTACTCCAAGTCTAACTAATGAGCCGGCTAATACTGTTAAATTCCCATCGAGAATAAGAACTATTAACTCTACACCTGTTGAAAAATCAATACTTCAGCGTATAGAAAATTTTCCCTGGTATGACTATTTCGCCTTTAGTTCGAGTAGTGATGACTAATAAATTTACAAGCGCTGATCAACATACATCATTCCTTCAAAATATCTTGAGAGGAGGACCTCCCCTCGTGCCTTTGGTCGGACCAGTTTTATCAGGAGCTATCACTTCCGCTAATGCCCAAGGATATTTGCCCCAATTTTGTGGATTTTCAGATGTTCCGCCCTCTCCACCAACAGTTGCTAAATTATCCGACGTTAAAGCTGTGGCTTTATCAAAAAATACCGGAAAAAAAAGTTCAATAATGCCCGTGAATATTTCTAATTCTAATTCAGAAAATAACCCAATAAAAGTGAGTCAAAAAGGACAACCAGTAGCTTCCGCTAGTAGCTTCGGCGCAGAAAATTATATGCGTTATTTGACACAGAGAGATAGCTAAAAAGTAAAAAGGTCTTGGGTATTCATTAGATGCTTCACGGCATAGAATTCCTTGTGTAATTATTTTTAAATAGGTTAATATTGAATTATATGTTGGTTTAAGATGCATTTTCATCAATTTGGCTTAGTAATCTATCTTTGAGCAGTATGAATTGTTCTGAAAGTTCGCTAAAGGTCTTTTAATTCAAACAAGTATAACTGCAAGTTAAAACGAAGTTAAAATTTCAAGGACTAGAGATCTGCATAAACTACACTAATTTATTAAGGGATTTTTAATCAAGAACTTCGTAGCTAAATACCGGCAAAGTTATGTAATGAGGATATCAAGGTCACTCATAAGTTCTGTCTAAGGGTAACATTTCACATATTCATATTAACTAAGCTAGATAGGAGAGGACGAAGGCTGAACACCTGTTAGTGGTGCCCTCTATGAACCTGAGAGAGAAATTTTCTCCCAGAGCCAAGATTGTCATGGCGAGACATTCTTGAACCAGAGTCTAAGCAGAATGCCTGAGGATAAAGTTCACGGAACAGGTTTTTCGGCTCACCCTCAACACTTGCACTTAAATGGTGAGACCAGATAATGCGCTAACTAGAATTGATATGGTTGAGGTCACAGTTTGAGTTATGATGGGAAATTACAACAGTCTTAGTTGCATTTTGTTAGGTAGTTATTTGTACTTAAGGAAGCTGGAGCTACAACAAAATAGTTCTCCAGCTTCACAATCTTATAATTTTATTACAGTATTCCTCTCGCAATCCCGCTTACTTCTAGCCTTAGTACTTTGTCAGCTTTCCATCTTTCTAGTATTCACCGCCCAACATTTCCATACCCTCGGCGAACGGCGATCTTGATCTAATCCACGGCACGCCGTGATAGAGATTCATTCACGAAAAAGGATGGGATGAATTTTATTTGGATTTTCGGCTTGAAGGAGTTGTACTCGGAATTTTGGTCAACAAATCAGTCAGCAGAGATTTCATAGCCGGTATAAAGTTGAACAAAAACTCATCACCACCAACATACGATTCACGAATAGGCCTAGGTCTACATGAGGGTCGTATTCAAACATCTGACATCTCTCAAACTCCTTATGTATTTGCAACGAAGAATTTCTCAGCCGATCCTACACCTGCAGCCAATCTCCATACTCGTCCGATCACCTACCTACACACTACCTAATGAGGAAAGTCATGATGGAAACGGGACGTGTACAAAGGAGGAAGAAAAGGGAATATACACAGAGGGTATTACACAATTCCCAAATGACAGCAACAAACCAATGGTACGATAAGAAGGTGCAAGGCTAAAGCAACGATGAGATCTTGGACGGCATTTATATTTCGGAGTTAATGAGGATGTCAAGGGCTCGAGCGCGTGGTGGCCGAGGCTGAGGAGGAATTGAGCTTCGGCGCGTCAAAATAGGGTTCTCTGGACGGTTGGGCTTGACATGATTCAACACATGGACGAAGTCTGAGATGGTCCGGTCATTTAGATGGGACGAGGTATATCTGTACTTCACAGTAGTTAACCTGATCCAGCCCGGCCACACCCGTGCTTAAGCTCCAGTAGGAGTGTAACGGTAGTCACTTAACCTAGCACTTTAATGAACAGAAAAAATAAGCTCAAACAACTGTCAAACAGTAAAAGTATTGCGTTTACACTAGAGGAACTTATTTTTTATTTTCCCGAATACATAGTTTCCTTCGTCTACCATTGCTGTGTGTTAGTCATCGAATACTCTCTTTAGTTGTTAATCAGGTCTCACCTTCCTTGGTAAGGGAGTCATAGCCTTACAACAACTGAGGCAGTAAGCTTTTGCGTCCTTCACCAATTTGGATTGTATATAAGATGGGCATAGGCCCGTTCGCAGATAGACGTAAACTAATACAAACAAACAAACGCACATTTCGAGAAATTCGAAAATACGAAAATTCCCTTTCTCCCAATTTCCATTCTTATGACCACTTCTGTGCTTGACTTCTCGAATTGTTAACCGTCGCGAGGTATTTAAAATGCCTCCGGTGAGAAAAAATCGCCCAAAGCCGACAACTTCAGCCGGCTTTGAACGGACACCATTGTGTCCAAAACCTACTGGCCTCGCGCAAAAATTATCAAGCCTATTTGCGAGTGAGGCCTTTGTCCCAGGGAAGTCCACAAATCTTCCCGATCAAGAGATGACTGATTCTGAACCGATCAGAGCAGAAAACAATGGTCCCAAGACTAAAACCCCCGTCGAACTGCCCCCTTTGGCAAGCAGCTCCAGGAAAGGAAAGGAAGTTGTTCGAGAAAAGGCAACCGAACGTGCAGAATCATCTGCAGGAAACAATGCTGTGCCAGCCTCTAAAGGCGTAGCATCTACATCAGCAATGGAATTTCCACCAGAGCTGCAAACCGTGATGGAGGCCGAAAAGCGACGTACGACGCAAATTACGGCCCGCCTCGCCATCTGCTCGACTGCAATAAACAGTGTTGAAGCAGCACTTTCGCCTCTTTCGATCGGCGAAAATAAAGAATTTGTAGACGGTATAAAAGTCTATCTTCGAGCAGCCATCGGCCAGTTCGTACAATCTGGCCCAGGGAGCACACCACCAGTTCTCCCTGCTCGCCCCGCCAACCCTCTTCCGCCGAGGGCACCAGAAATAAGGGTTCCTAACCCTCTAACAACCCAGGCTCCGGCCCCAAAGACAACTTGGGCCACCGTAGCTCGAGTAGGCCTAGCCCGCAGCGCTGGGCCATTGACAAAAAAGGCAGCACCGCCCGCCCAGAAAGCAAAAAGTGCCAACTCGAGTGGAAAAGCCGATTCACGACTTTTTCTGCGCCTTGACTATTTCCATCCCCACCGTCTCCTTTCTCCAGCTGGAGTAAGGCTAGCGGTGTCTCAGGCGCTGGGAACCGCTGCCAACAATATCACGTTGGTTCAGCGGGTAAAGACCGGCTTTGCAATAACCGCAAAGGATGAACTCGCTCGAACAGAGCTCCTAGATTCCTCCACATCACGGAGCGAATCTGGAATCAAACTGGAACCAGCATCAAATCTGGTTGCCATGCAAATTGCCACCGTCCCGGAGACAATTCGAACTCTTGCTGGCCCAATCGCCGTGACGGCAAAGATAGTTGCCGACGAAGTCACGCGAGTAACCCAGTTGGTTCCCTTTCTGGATCGTCCTCATGGGACTAGCAAACCAGGGGCGCCCTATTCAAATTGGCAAGCGCTCTTTCCCCGAGAATCCGCTCCTCGACCCGGATTCCGCCTTTTCGACGACTCTGGAGCTGCAAAGGTTTTCCGACCTCGTCGCAATATCGAACAATGCAGACGGTGTCTTGAATTTCACGCCACCCGTGGTTGTTCCCGCGCTCCAGCTTGTTGGAACTGCGGATCTAATATGCACTCAGAATCAGAGTGCAAGGCCCTCACCCGGTGAAGATAAAAATTTTGTAGATTCCATCAAAGTCTACTTGCTAGCAGCAATCGCACAATTCGTGGCATCCGGGCCAAGCACTGCTCCGCCAGTACTACCCTAACGACCAAATGTCGCGACTCTCCCTGCGACCGCCGTCCCTGTAGCCATTCTCCGTAATATTTCAAAGGCTACTGCAGCTCCCCCGCTCAGAAGCACCTGGGCCACTGTCACCAGAGCAGGACACCAAAAGTCAGGAGCACAGGCTCCAGCAAACATCACCTCGGTTTCGGCTGTCCCATCTGCCAGGAAACCGGAAAAGAAGCCAGCAGCAGCAACAACAGCATCGAAAGATGACCAACTCTTCCTGCGTCTAGATGCAAACCACGAGTGGAGACAGCTCTCTCCAGCTGGCGTTCGCGAAGCCGTTGCTAAACAAACGCAATGCACCCCTTCCGATGTCGACCAGGTGCAACGCGTTCCCACTGGCTTTGCCATCCGTGCCAAAAACCCGGATGCAAAATCTCGACTGCTGGAGGCCTCCAGCACCTTTACGCAAGTGGAGGCAAAACTAGAACCACCAAGTGATCTAGTTTCCCTCCGGATCGCAACGGTTCCAGTTGCAGTTTTCGGCTTAGAAGGACGAATCGAAGTCACTGCCGAAATGGTGGCCGCCGAAATCCTCCGGGTAACAAACTGCACTCCAGACCGAGTAAGGATACACGGAAATACTAAGCTCGGCGCTCCCTACAGATCCTGGGCGGCCTTGTTTCCCAGGAATGCTATCCCAAAGCCTGGATTCCGACTCTTTGACGACTCGGGAGTAGCGAAAATCCAACGAAACCGCCCTGCCATACAGCAATGTAGGCGATATCTCGGTTTCCACGCCATCCGTAGGTGCTCTCGCGCGCCAGCCTGCTGGAACTGCGGATCCACCATGCACTCGGAATTCGAGTGTAAAGCGGCCTCTAAATGTCGAAACTGCGGAGGCCCCCATCAATCTGGCAGTCGAGACTGTCTTGCTCGTCCTAACGGGTCTGGCCCAGCTACCAGAGAGCAACTCGTGACGATTCGACATGCTGGCCAACGCGAGTACCAGGCCGTCGCTCGAGCCAAAGCTGATATCAAGGCCGCAGAGGCGGCTACAGCTGCCGCTAGATCGACAAGACCAACTTCTCCTGCTGCTGTTAAGGACAATCTATCGACAGACACAGCAATGACTGAGGGTTCGGGCTTTGGGGCCTTGAACCCTGAAGAAGCTTTGTGAAGGGCGCCCTACGGGCCCCTTCTCGCCCCCCTCCTACACTAAGTTTTATGTCAATAAACGTAGGCAGGGGTGGCCCAACCCACAACATTGCGCTCTCTAGAGCTTACGAGCTAGGCGTAGATATTGTGTTGATTCAAGAACCTTGTTGGATCAAACAAACGAACGAAACCAAGTCACACCCAGGTTACCTCTGTCATACACCGTACGGAGGTGTGGATGTCAGACCGAGGGCGGTGACTTACACTCGGAAAAACAAGAAGGTGATATCGGAAGAGCAGATTTTTCCTTGTAATAGGCTGACCGGGGACTACTGCTGGGTACTGGTCAATGGA